GATGCGAATCAACTAACCGCCCGTTATGATGGATGGACGGCCCTACTTATCGCATCGAGTACCTCGTCTGATACTGGTTCGTCGACGCAATTCTAAACTACTTCCCCAGAGCCATATGATGAGCACTCCTTGAATATGTGATTTTGTGCAAGCTGTTCGAACGCTTGTATAAAATATTTAATTAAAATTACGTTGTCTCTCTGTCATCTGTATCCTGACTGCTGCTGAAATGTATGCGACAACATGTAGTTGGTATTGATGTTATGTCTCTAACGCTCATAAAAATTAATGTTTCGTATACTTAGTATAGTAAATTCTATATACATAAAAATAAACATCGATCTTTTGCGTTTACTGGCAGACTGCTAGCTTTCGACCGGTAAGAAAATAACGTTCTCTGTTACTGCCGGATTTATGTTGCGTAGACGCACATATCAAGACTAGCAGTTCGCTCGTAAACTCAAGATAGGTGTTTATTTTGTGCATAAGTATGCCTACGGATAGAGGCATATCGATAGATGTCCGAACAGGATTTTCTTTGGCCCTGTCCAGTGATGCGGTCTTGCATCCATACCCTGCTACTCAAATATCATGATGCCGTGGCCTGCTTGATCCTTCAGGCTGCTAGAAACAAGGTCCAGTGCTTCTTCACCGTATTAATCCGGCAATAACAGAAAATGTTGATAGATTCTTTAGTTGCAACACGTCTGTTCCAGGTGTGGTTGCCTCGTTTGACAAAACAGCATGCATTCAAAATTGTTAAGGAGCATATCCATCGTAGTGCGTTTTGTGAGCCTGCGCATTCCTCTTGTTCTGTTTATTCCTTAAACTGTATGCAACAGACCACTTGTTTATTCCTGTAATTCTGTTCTTCATCGCGTTGGGGGTTATTTACTCTGAGCGCAAAAATGGTGTTGTAGTAATTCGAAATGCCAGCGACTGCTCTCAGTTTTCAGGCAGCTTTGTTTAATTATTTGTTTAAATTTAGTTTATCGTTTTTCCCTTGTGCTAATTTTCAGTCGGTTATCAAACGGTTTACCACGAACTGTATCGGTCAGGCGAGCGAACGTTGCCGCGTGACCTTTAGTCTTAATTTTGCGCAAAAATACCATACAACCCCATCACAGGTCAACGACTTACTAGTTGTTCGTTTTTCGATTTTTTTCTCCATAGCACCAGAAATTCCGTAATGAGGTTTATTCAGGATTAACGAAAGACATTTTAAGCCGCACGAGGATTTGAACCCGGCATCTGCATGTTGAAAGCAAACTAATTACTGCCTTTCTCTCTCACCCACTGCCATTGTACCTGAGGGTTCCTACAATGATTTCGGACCTTTGCCAGTTGTGTAGGCTCCATGGAGTGAATTCCAAGGCAGTTCTGTGTCGTTACGAATCATATCTAGGAAAGCAACAGCGATGCTCGACACGGTAAGACTGTTACTTAGGTTTTCGGTGTTTCAAGGCTTTTTCGAAAAGTGACCATTGCCTAACAATTCATTTTCATAAGTGACAAAGCAACAGTTTAATTAGCATGCTCAGCAGAAGAATTGTTTTGGAAAACTATATTTGGTCTGAAGCTGTGAATGCGTTCACGTAGTTTAAATGTCATTCGGTCAGGAATTGCGTAAATGGTTCAATAGGTTATCGCCGTATCTGGACTTTCCCTTATCCGGATTTACATGGCTATTTTGAACCATTCAGTTTCACTCCTGCTGGCCGCCTATGGGACCTGTTAAGTCAGGCCATGGGTGGTTGGAATTGGAACACCTACCTTGATTAGATTTAAAATTACATCACCTTGTTAAGCCGTGCGAATATCAATGAAAAAATTCCATCTTTGTACGCTTCAGGCTAGACGCTATCTTTACGGTTCCTCAGATAGCTGCAGTCAGGTGTCAGAGCATGTTCTCGTTATGGGTCCGAGATTTTTCTTACCGGCTGCATCGGAAACCTTCGTGGTAGTTGACTCCTGAATACTGATGTGGTAGTTCACTACAATGAATTACTATGCAGCTTATGTACCAAAGGAAGGTTTCAGTCATGTGTTGAAGAATGGGCATGTATTGCAATCCAGTAGAATAGAGCTGCGATATCGGCGTCGTTTCGCGTAAGGTCTCATTCTAGTGGAAAGAAGCATTTCAAGATATCCGGCTAGGTTTCTTACTGGCTTGGAGTACACAGATGATTTTGTCTTGGTGAGTAGTACGAGGCGCAGGTTCTATCACCTGGTGCCTTCTGTATGCACCGTAACTGCGAAAGCCGACCTCTACCTTAGCCCCCTGAAGTCCAAAGTTAAGAGTAGCCAATCAGCTGGTTTCTCTACAGATGGAACTGGGAGTGAAGCTCTTCTTTGCCGGGTTGTCTCATCTGCAGTAGTGACACCATTCAGCCAGAGTTAAATATGAGTCGTTCTAGCCTCGAGTGATTTTGGAAACCTGTCCTATATTTCAGTTAAGAAAGTAGCTGCTATTACCCTGAAAATCGAAAATCTGCTTACACCTTTACTTTGTCAAGTCAGTGCAGTTGTACAGCTTGGAGAGAGTTCTAATGAATGAACAAGAACGACT